TCTTCTAGCGTATAAGCCCCCCTCAGCCAAGACCTTATTCCAACTAGAAGAATTCCGATTCCGCGCAGTCACTACCTTTGCACTGAAAAGTATAAGCGCTATATAAATATGTTATTATATTATATTATTATACCTTTGAAGTACACCAGATCATCTTGTCTTTTCCTTCAAACAGGGCAGCAGGAAAGGATAAGTTACACATGAGTGTGATCAAGGATGCCCTACCAGTTATACTTCCAGTCCTGACAGGGCTTATAAATAGATTGCTTTTAACATCAGTTTTTCCATCTGCTTGGAAAGAGTCCGTGGTGATACCGATATTAAAGGAAGGGGATCATGAGGTTGCTAATAACAACCGGCCAGTATCACTGCTATCCACTCTGTCTAAGATCTGCGAACGAGCAGCTCTTAATCAGTTAACGGGGTACACAACACGTCAGAGCTGTTTAAGTGAACATCAAAATGGAAACAAGAAGAAGCACTCGACAGAAACGCTCCATATTTTCATGTCCGACATGATTCTCGAAGCAATGGATCACAGCGTTGGTTCTGTTGGACTTGTCAAAGGCCTTTGACAGTATCGAGCATGGGATCCTATTACGTAAACTTCGAGAACTGGGTGTTTCTATACAGGCTATGGAATGGTTTAGAAGCTATCTGACGGACAGGAATCAGCGGGTGAGGATTGGTTGTGAGGTGTCAGATCCTCACCAGGTAGCTTATGGTGTACCTCAAGGGTCGATCTTGGGGCCAGCCCTTTTTAATGTTTCGTCTGAAAGATTTGTTTGATAGGTCTACGCTCATAACCATCATAAATTCATTAGTGTTCAGCAAGCTTTTCTATTGTTCGTCCATGTGGTCTAGTACAACAAAACAGAACATTGCTAGGCTTCAAAAAGTTCAGAATTTTGCGGCACGGATTATGACTGGCGCAAGAAAGTATGAGCACATCACGCTGATGTTAAAGGAACTCCACTGGTTGCCGGTTGCTAAGCAACTGGAGGATAGAGACATTTTAATGGCTTTCAAATGTATTAGGGGATTAGCCCCACCATCCTTGTGTAATAAGTTTTCGACAAGAAGCCAGGTGCATACTAGAAATACTAGGAATAAAGATAAACTTCATATACCATCTTTTAGATCAGCAACAAGTCAGCGATCTTTCTCATATAGGGCTGTTCAGCTCTGGAATGACCTTACAGAAAGTTTAGCAAACATAGAGTCATTTAATGTTTTTAAGCTCGCGATTAAAGGACGTGCACTTGACGATTTTTTAAGCCATTGGCACTCAATAGGTGTAATTATGCATATTTCATATTTTTAAATAATATGGTAATTTTTTATCACTTTCAAATGTTTATTTTAGATTTCTGTTGTTAATATTAGATTTTATTGTAATTGGTATGTGAAAACCCATTTTAATTGGATGTACCGATAAAGTTGATTGATTGATTGATTGATTGATACTATTGCTGTGTATTAATGTTGACTATTAATTTGTTATTCCGCTGGACAAGGGTAACGCGCGGACTCTGGGAACGAGATTGCGGTATGGCCAGTACCTTACTCATGCGCAACACCAAAACCCTGATGAGCCCCAATAAGGGCAAAACAGCTGTCCATGGCTGCCACTAAACGGGTGATGGCTATGCGCATGCGTAAAGTACTGGCCATACCGCAGAGTTGGTACGTGTGCTTCAGTGCTTAAATTGCTTAAATTGGTGTTGTTTCAAAACACATTCAGCCGTCCATAAATAAAAGATCGTCGGAAGTAACTGACAGTTTGCTCAACATAGCAGCTGTTGCTTTTTAATAACTCACCAATCTTACCCAGAACCTCGGGAAAAACACCTCAAAAAGCCACTCCCACCCTCTCGGAAATTGCCTCGTTTTTGAACTGCCTCCCCCCCTCCCCTCCTCTCGGAAATTCCCTTGCCCTTAGGCTTTGAGATTGTACTCGAAAAAGTGGCCTAATATGCTGCTAGCAATGCTCCTATATTTCTAAAATTATGCCGATAATTAAGCTTATTTTTGTAAATTATGGTTAATTTTAGGTAAATATGCAGAAATTATGCTTCTACCTTTTTCTTCAAGTTTGGTAAAAACACCTCAATAACAATGCAACAAACAAGTTAAAGGGAGAAACATTTGCCCTATTTACATATAGGAACCTTAAGTGTGCATAATTCAGTCTCTGAAAACTATAAAAATTCAAAGAAAATAGTAGCATACGGACGCTATCTTGGATAACAGAGCTAGTCAGTTACGCGCATGTCTTGGGTCCTTTGGAAAGATCCTAAGTCATTACCTTTGGGACCCAGGTTCCCGTGAATGCGACAATAAGCGGACAAAAAATTGTTATTGTTACTTTCATTTGCCCGTAACACTTATCTCGGGTCAAAAAAAATTGGTTACATGACAATTTTGGGCTGCAAAACTAGCCAAAAGTGCAAATTATTCTAGCAGTGCTTTTTTCGGGAAATACATGCATTGAAAGTTGTGCTCGTAATGACGAATTATGCCAAAAATTATGCTAGCAAACTCTATCAAACCCTAGTTGCCCTCCGTAAGGGGTATGGATATTTTCTGGAACTACACATTGCACGATCGTTTCCTTGCAAAATAATAACTCAAAATGAAGAGAAAGATTTCTTGTAACCGGCACACACTGGATAGGCTCAAGTTGCAAATTTCATCTCTCATTAATTTACCCTAAGTTTCTCAGCATTTATCCTTTTTGCCCCCCTCCTCTTTGGAACGAAAATTTCACCTACTCTAACACCTTTTGAAAATGCACTGCTAATTATTACACAATTATTCATACCTGATACTACTTTCAACTGGATTGTAGAACTCCTGAAGACACTCCAGGGATCGTCTTTGTTGCAGAACCAGTCACAGCTATACATCCCCTCATCAGCATAAGTAACGTTAAAAATGGTGATCATGAAATCTGTTCTGCATTTTGTCTTGGTTTTCCTTTCTTGAATTTCATACTTCTCAGCGGAGTTTAAGGACATCCACCTGTTGCTAAAACGCCACTGTAATTTGCTGTCGTAACAGTCGCTTGGTCTTACTCCAGCCAGGCATTTTAAGCTGACGTTGTTAAAGGCTGTCACCGAAACTTCGGGAGAAGAGATATACGGGGCTCCAGGCCACAAACCTATATCCGAAAATGAGAAAAATATGGTAAACAAAGAATATTTGCTGCGTTGCACTTGTGCAGCGTTAGTACAGCCCTATTTCCAGTCCCTCCCATACTGAGTCCTGAGTATTTGTGACAATATAAATATGGCAAATGGCAAATGGAGCATCACGATGATCATGCTTTTCTACTTTTCGATTGTAGCTGTCCGTCCACTTTTTCTCTTTTACGTCTTCTCTCCTATTGTCTTCAGTAACACGCCGTCCTTAATGACCCCTTAGCGAGTGGAAGAAAACAATCCTTTATCAACCCTGGGGTGTTTTATATAGCACTCTTTTAACTGATTGTGTCTGCTAAACAGGTTAAGAACTGTGGGTGGCTCACTGGTAACAGCTCTCGCCTCCCACCAATGTGGCCTGTGCTCGATTTCCGGAGGCTACACCATATGTCAGTTTATTTTGCCGTTGTCTCGCCCTTGCTCCAAGAGGTTTATCTCTTGTTACTTTCTCTCCTTTAAGACCAACATTTGCAACTTCCAATTTTATTATTGAGAAAGCGGGCTTTATTAGAGATGGGCGTCTAATATAATTTTAACAGCGTAGAGGGGGTGTTTATTAGATAAGAGGCTTTTATTAGTGGGCGTTTATTAGGTCACGGTATATATGTATTTGGGTATTTACACCTACATCCTCTCAATTTTTTTCTTTTTTGGGGCGATCCCACACCTATTTGAAAGATTGTTTTCGATTAGCTGGGAAACCAACAGGGATTGTCACATAACAATGCCCCTATCCCTGAAAACAATGGAGGTGCAGATTAAAGGGGATCGGTGAAATAAGAGGTTTAGGGACTGTGCAATAATTACATGGAGGGGGGGTTGGAAAATGGGTGAAATATGCCCCCTCACAAAATGATAATATTAAGGCTAACCCCCCCTCCCCTAAAAAAAGTCTCCTCCCATTGATTCCCTCATACCTAGTTTACTTGTCGGATTTCTTCCTCCGCTACAAAAATCACTCAAATGACTCTTAGACGTATGTCGAATATTTAAAGATTCATCAGAATCACTGAACTCTGAGCTTGTGTCGTCTTCGCATGAACTGGGTGATTCCTCATCTTCTACAGCATCTCTGGCACTAAGGTTCCCGCGTGCGTGGGTGAGAACTCGATCAATCAACTCAGCCTTGCTTCCACTTATCTTAAGGCCTTTTTGCTTTCGATACATTTTCAGCAGCTTGTTGGTAAGCGCTTTTACATCTTTTACATGTTTTATTTACCATACTTTAAATTTGTATTGTTATTAAAATTGGATTTTTCATTCTGCTAAATTATGACGGCATGTGTGCTAACATTGCTATCTTTCTTTTTCATTGAATAACATTATAGTGCTACTTTTGCAACTTTTAATTAAAGTTTCCTGTTTTATTAAAGCCTAGTGCAAATAAAGTAGCACTGTTTTAACATATATTCCCACTACATGACAGATAGGAAACAAAATTTCATAGATCAGAACACCTTAGAGTTGATAAATTTGTCAGTTTTATTCCAATGTTAGTATTAATATTTGAACTCTAATAACTCTTCCACTACTTTTCCAGTTTGCAAAAAAGAATGAAAAAGTAATGCCCCCCTGTATGTATTAAATTTTGCATCCAACCCCCATCTCCCTTGTTGCCATTTTCTCCTATGCCCCCCCCTTTAATTTTCCACCTCCCCCCCGCCCTCCAGGTAATTATTGCACAGTCCCTTAGAACGGTGCAGGTCTACTGCTTTTTTGGAGTCATCTATGTAACAAGGTATTCCGTGTTCTACTTTTTGCTTGATCCCTTTCCTCGGGTTTTGTGTCACTGCATTCCTAGGGGAATAGTTTCCAAACATTTTTTGTCCACTTTTTAAGGGTAGCTTTGTTTAGTGGTTTTTCGTATCTGGTCGTACAATCGCTCTTACCTAGAACACGTAATAGTATTTGGCAAGTATATCATTGATGTAGCTAGGATACATCTGCCTCAGGTGACCGACTGGTTTATCCTTTATAATCATTTCACTCTGGATGTCTCGTGTTAGTGGAGATCAGAAGCTGCTTTTAAAACATGAAGCACCCAATATTTAATTCCATGTGGATGGGATGTCTGTTCATTGCAACAGGACAACCCCAACGTTATGTTTCTGGTACCTATTTATAAACCTGGATCTAGTTGTTCGAGGGCCGATTAGCGCCAACGGATGAAATTTCTTCTGTTTAAAAAAAAAACGGTGGTTTGAACAACCCGGCCCTGATTGGAAAAAGGGGTCTACGTAACAGTTAAAACTGGTACAGCAATTTAGCTGGTTTTACTCACCCCAATTTATTAGTGGCCTTATTTAAAGTAATCAGATCACTTACAACGATAACGCATTTCAATTATCCCAGTGTTTTCACTCGACCATCCAGTAATGTTGTTCATTCCTGTGCATTTATAATCCCCTGCGTGTTTTTCTTGGATATTAGGATTTCGAAGAACAGAAGATAAGGTGTCCTCTCCAAACAGCTGCTCGTAGAGATAAAAGCTTTCAGATCCGTTGATGATTAGTTTACTATCTGGTTTGTACCAAGCAACACGAGGACGAGGCAATCCCTTAAAGGTACAATTAAGTTCCATTTCCGTCGTATTAGGATAGAAATCCACTGGAGAACTTGTATTAAATACTCTCTGAACTGGAACTGAAAAGAAATTTTTCGTCTTACTCTCCAAGCTGATAAGTCATCTACTCAGTTAGTTTTAAGATACAGTGAGCTCTCTTTTTTACGTGACACTTTCCTAAAACAAACTCGTTAGTGCTTTACTGCAGTTCATATGTTAATTTTAAATTAGGGACTCAAAAGTGCGTTTGTTAACGTTGAAGGTGATTAAGCCGGATGAAATTTCAACCGCTTTATGATATTACTCTAACCGTAAGGGCTGACGTTACCATGCAATTAAATCTCCGTCAGCCACCTACGAGGTCTTCAAGGATCATTCATAATACATATAAAAGAGAAGACCAAAAATTATCCATCATAATGTTTTTATATAAACCATGAAGTGCAAAAGAGGAAAAAGGAGAAAATGCTCACTAGCGTATTTTAAAGAAAAACATCCACGTGACTGATTTACATCCGTCGAATTCTCGGTTTTCACTCACGTGGGAAAGCAGAAATAAAAATGGAAACTTTTTAATACAACAAGTCTAGAATCTGGAAAATGAAAGAAGATAAATATACAAAAAGCCTTGCCAAGAATCAGGTCTATGCAATAGTTCATATGCGAGATATTCGGAAAAACGTTTTACCCAAATTTATAAAGCTTTGTATGGAGACGCCATGTTTGTGTCTCTTTCAGGGGCACAAATATGGCCGCCGGAAAACAACAGAAACATCGGTTTTTGAGTTTTCCTCCTTATGGGTGAATTCTTCGCTTGAGGAACTCATAAAGATTAAGGCAATGTTTATTCTAAGACAAGGAATGTTTAGATAACAAAATCTCCAAAAATCCGTAATGTTTTTAACCCACATAAGAGCTTTCCCAGCCGCCAGCTAAATGCCGCGTCACTCAAACGGCTTGGAAACTAAAATTTCGAGGACGTTTTTGGACTTTTTACATTTAGGGCATGAATTTTTCGTCATTTCAGGCCATGGAACCTAAAAATGAGCCTAGCTAGCTGTAAAAAAAGGTAATACGGAGGCAATACGTCCTAGCCGGCATGATCACATGCTGTTTACGGAACATTCCCTCATCCATGTCTGGAAATTCTGTATTTTAAAGCCTCCCCTAGGGCATGACTCAGCAACTGAGGACATTTCTGCTACGTTTTCAATGTTGGTTAGCATGCAAGGATTTTTCCCATGCCTATCGTCAATGATTTGCTCACTGGTAATAGAGGGGGTGGCCCCAGAGTGGTTTTGCATTGAAATTGGCATGCAACAGAATTTCGCATGCCCTGTAAGCATAATTTGAGGTTCCGTGACCTTCTAACCCAGGCCGCGAGAAGCCTAGGTTCTAGTAATAAGTAATTCATACCCAGCAAAATCTCCGGCATGCCGGGCATGCCAAATTTTCTGGCATGCTCTCAACGCACAGGTTATAATTCCTTGAATCTACAGATATTTTAAGCCTGGCTAAAAAAAAAAACTAAACAGATCACCGTGCTTATCTTTTGATGTACGGTTACACGATGACGTCATTGCTATTCCATTTGGTTGTCCCAGCGAAGTTTAAATAACAAAAGCTCTAATTTTCACAAGAAAGTAAAACCCTGAGGGATTCTGCCGTAGTAATAAAACAGCGTCATCGTGGAGATGACCTGTTGGGGGATTGTAAAAACTCCTCACCCCTTTTAATGGGTCTTCAATAGGATTCCCATTTCACATTGCGAATAAAATGGAATTGACTGAAATCAGTAAAAAGAGAGACAGACTATTTTCATTGTATAATAACATGCATCTATGTTCCATGAAAGCTTTTAAAAATACAAGGTTATAGAATATCTTTCAAAGTTCATTACAAACTGAGCTAAGCCCCAAAATCACTGTTCATCATTCAGTAAATTATGATGTTTGACAATGCAATGTGCTTGAATGTAACGTTGCAATTACAAATCTCTCTAACGCAATTTTCCCTACGTTAGAAAAGCTGTTTTTATCTTGTTTCACATTTTGATAAGGAGTCTGACTTCCTCTTTCCTGTTTTGTAGGTTTGCCAGGGATTAGTGTTTTTGTGTCATTACCAGTGTCTGTGTTCTTTGTTTTTAACTGAAAGTAAGTCAGTAATAACTAACAGTATCCTAGAATTGCTCTCTAGAAAAGTAATTATCTCCTCGTCATGTCTGGAAGTTACCTGTAACAAAAAAGAAATGGAATGTTAACACATGCATGGGCAATATGAAAAAAAGAAATTGAACATGTAGACTCAGCTTCTCTTAACATATTTTCATACTGGCTTGTTGAGTCTGTGAGAGGTCGCAACTAATTGTCTGAGGCTAATTTCACAAGAGTGTGCAATTGAGATAAATGCATGGCAAGTGAAAGAAACGTGGTTTCACATTAGCCAGTTTACATTGCGTTGTTCGATGATGTTTACATGCTCTTCCACTGCAAAATAAACCTTTGCATTTGGGTTTGCAAGTCAAGATTATCCCGAGTTTGACTGACACTTGAACAACAGTTTCATTTTTAAGCAGGTAAGGCGTAGACCCATATGAAGCCGGAACATGTAAAGGAAACTCAGCGAAAAATTTTTCGCATCTTTTTGTGGCGATATTCTCTCATGGCCCGTCAACTGATTGGGGGTTGCGAAGAAAAAATACATTAGGACCAAAGGTTAAAGCCTGTCCGGTTACATCATTTCACATGTTACCTAGAGTTCTAATAAATAGGTCATAAAATAGGATTTAACGAGAGCGAATTTGTTTCTCAATCGGTGTATAAAGAAGTGAAGCTATCAAATGAGAAGTTTATAAAGTATCAAAATGATTAAATTAAAAGCTCATATAATTAGGAAAATTCCTATACGAAAACAATGCTAGTAGCATTAAATTGTTCAGATAAAATTCTCACAAAATATGTCGAATAAAAGCCTCATTGTTTGCTTTTGTTGTTGCGTAAAGGTAAATTTTTCGGCCCACAAAGCAAAGTTGAAAAAACGACTAAATCTTAGTTTTTTTACATTGAACATGTTTATTAGCTTAGTTTTCGTCCTTTTTAAAAGCTTTATAACCCAATCATAATTTTCGAGTTAAAATAGTACAAAATCATTTCAAAAACCATGTTCATTTAAGTGGAGCCTGCAAACGTGAACATTTTGTAATTCAAAAGTCGGTCCCTTTAGGTTGTTTAAGCTTACTAAATAGAATTTTTTGCATTTTAGCGTCCTATAGCCGGGCGGCTGTACACAGGCTAAGCGTCCTATCAATTTACCAGAATCACCTCTCAGAGGCTTACTTTAGCAAAGCATTTCGTAGTACACTCGCAGACAAGCAATGTAAGCCTTAAGTCTTTGCTTGGATGAGATGTCCAAAAGAAAAATTAGTTTTGTGGACCTAAACGCACATTCACAGACTGCTTATATTCAGAGTTGTTTACAACTTTGCATTGACACCTGCAGCATGATCATTTTTTCAAAGCGAAATCCAAATCTGATTTGGGCATTTGATTTACGGATATTTTATTTTGTCTCCAAAAGTGATTGTAATATCCGTTTGATTGTCTTTCAAACAACAGTCAAACTATGCAGCAAAAATAAGTAACTTTACCAGTACAATGAAAAAATGTGACCGTGAGTGCCAAAAATAATTATGCTCGAGCTGAAAAATTAGATCTAACTTTTTTTAGCTTTGGTTTCTATATTTTTGAAGTTTTCTCCAGTCTTCTTAGCAGCAGAAGAAGATTACAAGACGTACAAACAGAAACAATCCGAAGTGAACGAGTTGACAACCACTTATGCCGCAGTTCTTAGGCATGCTCAACAGCAAGATAAACTGAATGCCAAAAAGCTAATTCAGGGGATTTGTTCGATATTCAGGCTTTTTCTTTACAAATTAATACTACATTTGTACTTACAGTCTCTCGCAGAATCCATTTCTTGTCCAGCATTCACCAACATCTCAACCATGCACCGCAGAAAAAAAAGACAAACAAGTGCGAAGAGACATGACGACATCGTGACGCCACAACTGCCACGCTACAACAAACTAGATTCATCGTCATCCGAAAACACTTTTGCGGAAATTCGGCCGATTTCGTGCTTGCTCGGGGTATCTTCGGATGAAGCAGATGACGTTGCTCAAAGGACTATCGTCAGCAAGGAGTAAAACAGTTTGCGAGATTCGCATAGCCGACAAGAAGCGCACTGAAAACCTAAGCAAAATCCATCTGAGAAGGCAGTCCAAATTCACCAAATCAGAACGTCTTTGTAGCATTAACGTCGTACTCTCGTACTGACTTGAACGACCTGGTAAGCTTAATTTTCACCAGTCTTTTAATGCTGTTGACCGGGAAACATTCCGACGCGATATAAGCATGGATAAGTTTATACTGAGAAGATTTGTTATCTTATTATTTAAAACGCTTTTCCGCGATCAATTTTAAATCTGGACCCAGAAGTGTCAGTATCGGTTTGAAATAAAAGTATTAATCTTTGATTGCAAGTGAGGTATTATTTTTTATGCATGAATAATGTTGTTTTGTTGTGCTTTTTATTTATAAATCCAAGCTTTTGTCTTCAGTTTTGCCAGTCGATCCCGTGACATACATTGCGACAAACATGACTTTTTTTGTTATAATCTGCATTTATTGCCAGGCATGAAACCTGTAACTTCAAGCTCCCTAAGATATATTTGGCGATTATATGTGAATCTCAGGATATGATGCTGCAGCGAACATCAAAATCAGTCTCGCTGGGCATGCCAATTTCATGCCCGGCATGTCAAACCAACTGGCTTCACGATCGGCATGCCCGGCATGCCAAACCAGAGGAGCAAAAACTGGGAATGAATTATCAACCCGGCCAGAGATCTGGGACCTAAGTTTAGGTGGGTCAATTTTGGGCTGCGAGGGCATGAACCCATTTTTTCCATGCCTATGAGATGTTATTTCTAAGTACCAATGTTCCCTTGAATTTTGTCATGCCTAAATATATAAAATTTTCCCTCTCACATTAATCCTCAGACTGGATGCGATTTTTACGCTCGCTAGGCATGTTCAACTGAAAATCATGCCCATACCCTCGTTCAAAACAAACTGCTATCAAATTTTAGTTTCCAAGCCGTTACTCAAAAGCCTGGAAATTCAAGCGTCCTGTATCGCAAAACAAAGAACCCTTTTGAACCGAAAATTTGTTTGTATAAAGATTTCAAGGTGCTCTAATATCACATGAAAGAAGAAACTCAGAAGAGGCGATAGTTTCTTAGTTTGAATTTTGATGACGTCATGTAAAAACCAAGAAGAGTTTTGTAATAAGTATTGCTGGTTTTCAGTGTCACGCCATTCAAAGTAGATCAAAATAAAAATCAAAACCATTCGACAGATAAAGTCCAGGATCTGGGAAATGAAAGGAGGTAAATATAAAACGACCCTCGCCAAGATTTGCGTCGAAGGAATAATTCGTATACGAGATATTCGAGGAAATGTTTTACCCAAATTTATAGAGCTTTGTATGGAGACGCCATGCTGGAGCTCATCCAGATGAGCTCGGCCACCATGGCCGACGGAAACCAACAGAAACATCTGTTACCGAGTTTTGCTACAAAAGCGTGAATTTACTCCAGAGGAACTCATAAACATTTAAGTAATACTTTTTCTAATACTTGAACTATTTAGATAGCAAAATTCCTTGGAAAAGTCACTTTTTTAACCTAAATGACAGCTCTCTCGGCCGTCATGTAAATGCTTGGTCACGCAAAAGCTTAGAAATTCAAGCGAACTCTATTACAAAACCAAGAACCCTTTTGAAGCGAAAATTTGTTTGAAAATTAGTTTTCAGCTGCTCTAATACACCATGAAAGTAAAATCTCAGTAAGATCGATAGTTTTGTAGTTTGAATTTTAGTGACGTCGTGTGAAAACTAACTGAATAGACCTTTGCTGGCCCGGAGGTTACTTTCAAGGCCCTGCCAGGTCAAATCTTGCACATTTCCACCAGTCATAATCGAGCATTTTAGAGTCACTTTAGAGTCTTTCGGCGTAACTTTTATCGTCTGAAAGGGGGGTTGACAAGTCTGCGCGGTTATTTCACAGTTAATGCCTAAATGACTGCGTCCCAGTATAAACGGCCTTGTCTTTCAATAGTTTAACAGACTAACCTATTTACGCGCTCAAATTTTTATCCAAAGCTATAAAGCAACAATTTGAACATAATTGAGGAATCCGTTTTGTCATAATTGTAATATTTATTTAGTTTAAATCCGCTGGGCATAGTTTTAAATCTTATGTTAAAGGAGAAGTAAAGACCAAATAATAAGAGGGAGGATGAAGTAAAAACCTTCAAAATAGGGGAGAGGGAACAAGCAATCTAGAAAGAGAGAAGGGCAAAAATCATCAATGGTAGATTGTATATGATACACGACTCCCATTGGGATAAAACTTCACTTTGAATTTCGATTGGATTGTAAAAATACTTTTCAAATGTTTTCTCAGCGGAGTTTGTTCTTAGTAACTGTGTAACATTGCCCTATGTAAATTCTTCCTTTTATCTTGGACCCGAGAACTAGACTGTGCTGAGCTACCGGCCCAAAATGGTATTGTTCAGACCTTGGGTACCCTATATCATTGTGTACATATTTGTTCAGTTTCGCCCATATTTGCTCAGTTTCGCCCTGTCAGACATCATAGGAAAAGGAGTGTGGCAGAGGATACAAAATAGTACATTGTCTCGGAGCGAAAGAAAAGATGTGGACCCGGTGCCCGTTAGCTCCCAAGAACTAGGTCACGACCTCTTACGCCGTGGGCACTGGCACCCTGGCCGAATTCTTAGCGTGGGTATATGAACAAAGACCGTAATCACGTTACTGCCCCTAGACTACCGTACTCAGGCACAGAGCCCGAACACCAGCTCTGAACGCGGCCTTATTCTACCATCTTTTTTTGACAATACGTTTTAAGTAGTATTCAACATGAGTGCGGTATACGTACGAAAGGGCATCACTCTCAAACATAATCAGTTTGAGGAGTTAAAACGTAGGGGAAATGATGTAAGTGAGCTGGTTGAGAGGACTGATGCCCGAGGCGACCGAGGCAACAATGGTGGTAGTGAAAGTAATGATAAACTTAAGAAAAGTTACTTGGTGGTTGTAATGTACCTGTAAGGACATTTGGACGCAGGCAACTTAAAGGACCTTCCAGGTACCATTATTTGTTTTAAACAAGGGACAATTAAAAGCCGAAAGGCCTGCATAGAAATTTCTATGTGTAGTCATCCCACATATGTCACCTGCTTATGACTGGGAATCTAATGAGAACCAGGAACTTGTCATTGAAATGTTGCGTTCAGTATCGGTTAGTAGCTAGTCCGTAAGTGCAGTCGACACTCGACACTCCGCCACCAAGAATGTCTTCAAAACATTGCCAATAGAGAGGAGAAGTCATTACGTAACGCTGCCATGGTAGCAACATTTCTGGATCTCAACAAACATCTCGTCAAGCAGTGGGCATGTCTACTCTTGCCCGGCAAATCTCGAAGGGAATATAAAATCCTTAGGTAAACTATGAAAACGTTATAACGGCAATCAGACACCTGTCTTAAAGACTGAGGATTTTAATTAAGAAGTAAATCCTGTCCTCTGATTGGACGATTAATTGACTGACTAACTCACTTACCGACTGAGTGACCATCAGTAGACTGACAAACTGATCCGCAGAGTATAATATACCGACTATTTAACTTATCCAGTGCGGCTAACTGACTTATTTGTGGGGAAATGAGGAGCAATCAAGAGCGGAAATTCGTTTTAAGGCCAGACACTAATTACTTGGGCAGAGCCTTAACAATTTAGTTAGTGGAGGAATGAATATTTCGCTCTTTTTTTTTCACTTGGGTGGCCTCAAAGTTGGAATTGTGTTCTAATGCGCATGTATAAATTTTCATACCAGCCTGGCGGCTCGCCATGAAGAACCTTTCGTTTGTTCTCGCTAACGAGACAAAGTGCGAATTCTTTCAAGATAGAACTGTTTACAAATTAGGGACTGTGCAGTAATTACCTCGAGGGGGAGGGGGGGTTGGGAAATGGGTGAAATATGCCCCAAAACTAAGTCATACCCCCGCTCTCATTAAGCAAAAATTAATTTCAACCCCCCCTCACATAATGATAATATTAAGGCTAACCCCCCTCCCCTTGAAAAACGTCTCCTCCCACTGATTCCCTCATACCTAGTTTACTTGTTGGATTTCGTCCTCCGGTACAAACGTCACTTCAAATGACTCTTCGACGTATGTCGAAGAGTCATCAGAATCAGTGGACTCTGAGGGTGTGTCGTCCTCGCATGAATTGGGAGATTCCTCATCTTCTACAGCATCTCCGGCACTAAGGTTCCCGCGTGCGTGGGTGAGAACTCGATCAATCAACTCATCCTTGCTTCCACTTATCTTATATTAAAACCTTTTTGCTTTAGATGCATTTTCAGCAGCTTGTTGGTAAGCGCTTTTACATCTTTTACACGGTTTATTTACCATACTTTAAATTTGTATTGCTATTAAAATTTCAACGGTTGGGTTTTTCATTCTGCTAAATTATGATGCCATGTGTGCTACCATTAGCAACGGCTTCCTTTTTCATTGAATCATGACATTAATTATAGTGCTTCTGTTGCAACTTTTAATTAAAGTTTCCTGTTTTATTAAATCCTAGTCTAATTAAAGTAGCACTGTTTTAACATATATAACAGATGCATTCCTTTCCTACTGCATGACAGATAGGAAAAAGAACAGTTCATAGATCAGAAAACCTCGGAGTTGATAAATTTGTCAGTTTTATTCCAATGTTAGTATTGATATTTGAACTCTAATAACTCTTCCACTACTTTTCCAGTTTGCAAAAAGGAATGTAAAAGTAATGCCCCCCCCCCCCTGTGTATTAAATTTTACATCCAACCCCTCCTCTCTCTTGTTGTCATTTTTTCCTATGCCCCCCCTCTAAATTTTCAACCCCGCTCCAGGTAATTATTGCACAGCCCCTTAGAACGGTGCAGGTCTACTGCTTTTTTGGAGTCTTCTTTGTAACAAAGTATTCCGTGTTCTACTTTCTGCTTGATCCCTTTCCTCGGGCTCTGTGTCACTGCATTCCTAGGGGAATTGTTTCCAAACATTTTTTGTCCACTTTCTAAGGGTAGTTTTGTTTAGTGGTTTTACTTATCTGGCCGGACAATCGCTCTTGCCTAGAACACGTAATAGTATTTGGCAAGTATATCATTGATGTAGCTAAGATACATCTGCCTCCGGTGACCGACTGGTTTATCTTTTATAATCATTTCACTCTGGATGTCTCGTGTTAGTGGAGGTCAGAAGCTGGTTTTTAAAACATGGAGCACCCAGTATTTAATTCCATCTGGATGGGATGTCTATTCATTGCAACAGGACAACCCAACTTTATGTTTCTGGTACCCATTTATGAACCTGGATCTAGTTGTTCGAGGGCCGATTAGCGGCAACGGCTGATATTTCTTCTGTTTAAAAGCACTTTCACAGATAAGGTTTTGTCTAGTTTTTAGAGCATCCATTCATCAAATTGTAGAAAAAAAAGGAATTAATAAAACTGACTTTGATTTCTAAGCTTTAACATCTGAAATCAAATTTTGCTCTAACCCGGTGGTTTTAAACAACCCAGCCCTGATTGAAAAAAGGGGTCTACGTAAGAGTTTTACTCACCCCGGTTTATTAGTGGCTTTATTTAAAAAAATCAGATCACTTACAACGATAACGCATTTCAATTATCCCAGTGTTTTCACTCGACCATCCAGTAATGTTGTTCATTCCTGTGCATTTATAATCCCCTGCGTGTTTTTCTTGGATATTAGGATTTCGAAGAACAGAAGATAAGGTGTCCTCTCCAAACAGCTGCTCGTAGAGATAAAAGCTTTCAGATCCGTTGATGATTAGTTTACTACCTGGTTTGTACCAAGCAACACGAGGACGAGGCAATCCCTTAAAGGTACAATTAAGTTCCATTTCCGTCGTATTAGGATAGAAATCCACTGGAGAACTTGTCTTAAATACTCTCTGAACTGGAACTGAAAAGAAATTTTTCGTCTTACTCTCCAAGCTGATAAGTCATCTACTCAGTTAGTTTTAAGATACAGTGATCTCTCTTTTTTAAGTGACACTTTCCTAAAACAAACTCGTTAGTGCTTTACTGCAGTTCATATGTTAATTTTAAATTAGGGACTCAAAAGTGCGTTTGTTAACGTTGAAGGTGATTAAGCCGGATGAAATTTCAACCGCTTTATGATATTACTCTAACCGTAAGGGCTGACGTTACCATGCAATTAAATCTCCGTCAGCAACCTACGAGGTCTTCAAGGATCATTCATAATACATGTAAAAAGAAGACCAAAAATTATCCATCATGATGTTTTTATATAAACCATGAATTACAAAAGAGGAAAAAGGAGAAAATGCTCACTAGGGTATTTTATATTAAAAAAAAACATCCACGTGACTGATTTACATCGGTCGAATAGTTTTGTAGTAAGTATAGACCTTCACCCTCACCTTCACCTAATCCAGCATTTTAGAGTCACTTTAGAGTCGTTCGGCGTTACTGTTATCGTCTGAAAGGGAGGTTGACGATTCTGCGCGGTTATTTCACAGTTCATGCCTAAATGACTGCGTCCCAGTATAAACAGCCGTGTCTTTCAATAGTTTAACAGAGTAACCCTAACCTATTTACGCGCTCAACTTTTTTTTCCAAAGCTATAAAGCAATAATTTGAACATAATTGAGGACCCGTTTTGTTATAATTGTAATATTTATTTAGTTTAAATCCGCTGGGCGTGACTTTAAATGTTATGTTGAAGGAGAAGGAACGACCAAATAATAAGAGGGAGGATGAAGTAAAAACCTTCAAAATAGGGGAGAGGGAGGACGCAATCTGGAAAGAGAGAAGGGCAAAAATCATCAATGATAGATTGTATATGGTACACGACTCGCATTGGGATAAAACATCACTTTAAATTTTGATTGGATTGTTTATATACTTTTCAAATGTTTTCTCAGCGGAGTTTGTTCTTAGTAACTGTGGAACATTGCCATATGTAAATTCTTTCCTCCATCCTGGAGGGTGGTATGAAGAGAAATGCACGTATGGTAAAGTGTTTGTTGGTTTGATTTGAAGTGAGTACGCACATTTAGGATTAATTCTTTTTTCTATTTTCCTCCTCTCCTAGGATATTCGTTTCTAGAAAACCTTTTTTTGGCTCAGATATTTCAGCAATAAATTTTATATCCGGTTAATTATTAAGTTCAATGAAAAAGGGGATGTTCACACCCGGTACCGAGAACTAGACTGTGCTAAGCTACCGGCCCAAAACCTTGGGTACCCTATATCATTGTGTACATATTTGCTCAGTTTCGCCCTGTCAGACATCATTGGAAAAAGAGTGTGGCTGACGATTCAAAACAGTACATTGTCTCAGAGCGAAAGAAAAGATGTGGACCCGGTGCCCGTTAGTTCCCGAGAACTAGGTCACAACCTCGTACGCCGTGGGCACTGGCACCCTGGCCGAATTCTTAGCGTGGGTATATGAACAAAGACCGTAATCACGTTACTGCCCCGACACTACCGTGCTCAGGCACAGTGCCCAAACACCAACTCTGAACGCCGCCATCCCACATATGTCACCTGCTTATGACTGGGAACCCAATGAGAACTAGGAACTTGTCATTGAAACGTTGCGTTCAGTATCGCTTAGTGGCTAGTCCGTAAGTGCAGACGACACTCGACACTCCGCCACCAAGAATGTCTTCAAAACATTGCCAATAGAGAGGAGAAGTCGTTACGTAACGCTGCCATGCTAGCAACATTTCTGGATCACAACAAACGGTCCCGGTCCTGCTAATATAGCAGAAAAAAACGAAAAAATTAACATGTATGAATTTCCGGTGCATGATTGCACTCAGGAACAAAACGGTAGCCCATACTTTTCCTCTATCGTTCGACAATGCAAATGAACGTCTTCCTTAAGAAAGATTTTTAAGCTCCAGAAATTTTGCTACCATGGTAACTTGAAGTCACGTTTTCCCCTAATTCTTGGCTGAGTTCCATGATGCGAACGAGTTTTTCGCAGACCGTCAAGCAGTGGGCATGTCTACTCTTGCCCGGCAAATCTTGAAGGGAATATAAAATCCTTAGGTAAACTATGAAAACGTTATAACGGCAATCAGACACCTGTAGTAAAGACTGAGGATTTTTTCTATTTTTTTTTTAATTAAGAAGTAATTCCTGTCCTCTGATTGGACGATTAATTGACTGACTAACTCACTTACCGACTGAGTGACCATCAGTAGACTGACAAATTGATCCGCAGAATATAATTTACCGACTATTTAACTTATCCAGTGCGGCTAACTGACTTATTTGTGGGGAAATGAGGAGCAATCAAAAGCGGAAATTCGTTTTAAGGCCAGACACTAATTACTTGGGCAGAGCCTTAACAATTTAGTTAGTGGAGGAATGAATATTTCTCTTTTTTCACTTGGGTGGCCTTAAAGTTGGAATTGGGTTCTAATGCGCATGTATAAATTTTCATACCAACCTGACGGCTCGCTATGAATAACCTCTCGTTTGTCCTCGCGAACGAGACAAACTGCGAATTCTTTCAAGAGAGAACTGTTTACAAATTAGGGACGGTGCAATAATTACCTGGAGGGGGAGGGGGTTGGGAAATGGGGGAAATATGCCCCAAAACTAAGTCATGCCCCCCGTCTCATTAAGCAACAATTAATTTCAACCCCCCCCCACATAACGATAATATTAAGGCTAACCCCCCTTGATAAAAGTCTCCTCCCACTGTTTCCCTCATACCTAGTTTACTTGTTGGATTTCGTCCTCCGGTACAAACATCACTTCAAATGACTCTTCGACGTATGTTGAAGAGTCATCAGAATCACTGAACTCTGAACTTGTGTCGTCTTCGCATGAATTGGGAGATTGCTCATCTTCTACAGCATCTCCGGCACTAAGGTTCCCGCGTGCGTGGGTGAGAACTCGATCAATCAACTCATCCTTGCTTCCACTTATCTTATATTAAAATCTTTTTGCTTTAGATACATTTTCAGCAGCTTGATGGTAAGCGCTTTTACATCTTTTACATGTTTTATTTACCATACTTTAAATTTGTATTGCTATTAAAATTTCAACGGTTGGGTTTTTCATTCTGCTAAATTATGATGCCATGTGTACTACCATTAGCATGTTTCTTGTTCATTGAATCATGACAGTATAGTGCTTCTTTTGCAACTTTTAATTAAAGTTTCTTGTTTTATTAAATCCTAGTGTAAATAAAGTAGCACTGTTTTAATATGTATAACAGAGGCATTTCTTTTCTACTGCATGACAGGAAAAAGAACAGTTCATAGATCGGAACTCCTTAGAGCTGATAAATTTGTCAGTTTTATTCCAATGTTAGCATTGATATTTGAACTCTAATAACTCTTCCACTACTTTTCCAGTTTGCAAAAAGGAATGAAAAAGTAATGCCCCCCCCCCTGTGTATTAAATTTTACAACCCCCTCTCTCTTGTTGTCATATTTTCCTATGCCCCCCCTTCTAATTTTCGAACCCCCCTCCAGGTATTTATTGCACAGTCCCTTAGAACGGTGCAGGTCTACTGCTTTTTTGGAGTCTTCTATTTAACAAGGTATTCCGTGTTCTACTTTTTGTTTGATCCCTTTCCTCGGGCTTTGTGTCACTGCATTCCTAGGGGAATAGTTTCCAAACATTTTTTGTCCACTTTCTAAGGGTAGTTTTGTTTAGTGGTTTTTCGTATCTGGCCGGACAATCGCTCTTACCTAGAACACGTAATAGTATTTGGCAAGTATATCATTGATGTAGCTAAGATACATCTGCCTCCGGTGACCGACTGGTTTATCTTTTATAATCATTTCACTTTGGATGTCTCGTGTTAGTGGAGGTCAGAAGCTGGTTTTTAAAACATGAAGCACGCAGTATTTAATTCCATGTGGATGGGATGTCTATTCATTGCAACAGGACAACCCCAACTTTATGTTTCTGGTACCCGTTTATAAACCTGGATCTAGTTGTTCGAGGGCCGATTAGCGGCAACGGCTGATATTTCTTCTGTTTAAAAGCACTTTCACAGATAAGGTTTTGTCTAGTTTTTAGAGCATCCATTCATCAAATTGTAGAAAAAAAAAAGAATCAATAAAACTGACTTTGCTTTCTAAGCTTTAACATCTAAAAACAAATTTTGCTCTAACCCGGTGGTTTTGAACAACCCGGCCCTGATTGAAAAAACGGGTCTACGTAAGAGTTTTACTCACCCCGGTTTATTAGTGGCTTTATTTAAAAAATCAGATCACTTACAACGATAACGCATTTCAATTATCCCAGTGTTTTCACTCGACCATCCAGTAATGTTGTTCATTCCTTTGCATTTATAATCCCCTGCGTGTTTTTCTTGGATATTAGGATTTCGAAGAACAGAAGATAAGGTGTCCTCTCCAAACAGCTGCTCGTAGAGATAAAAGCTTTCAGATCCGTTGATGATTAGTGTACTATCTGGATTGTACCAAGCAACACGAGGACGAGGCAATCCCTTAAAGGTACAGTTAACTTCAATTTGCGTCGTATTAGGATAGAAATCCACTGGAGAACTTGTCTTAAATACTCTCTGAACTGGAACTGAAAAGAAATTTTTCGTCTTTAGTTACTTTCCAAGCTGATAAGTCATCCACTCAGTTAGTTTTAAGATACAATGATCTCTCTTTTTTAAGTGACACTTTCCTAAAACAAACTCGTTAAGGGAAAGTTCATTTAATATGACAAGGGGGGGGATGAAGATATTGAAACTCGAAGCTTGAAATTTTAGCAGCCCCCCTCGCTAGCGGTTCAATTTTTTAGGAGCCCCCTCCTTGGTAGTCGAAAAAATTTCAGAGCCCCCCCTCCTCCTCCTCCTTCAATTCCTTTGCTCCCCTGAAAAAAGATCGCTAGACTGTATTAAATATATTTACCGTTATTATCTTCAATGGTTTATACTATAACCAACTTGAGATACAGTTGTGATACAATTTTCTAAAGCATTTTTGGGATGAACAAGAGTGTAATAATTACTGAGACTACATTTGTTATATCTGTAAACCACGTGATATAGCTGAGTTGCACAGGTCATTAAATTGTTGAGTTGAAAACCATCAGATCTGTATGCTGATGTCATGTGTTGGTTTTGAAGTATACAAATTTTCGGAGCCCCCCCTCCTAGGGCAACAATTTTTTCAGAGCCCCCCCTTCGGGTGTCTAAAAATTTTCGGAGCCCCCCCCCAATATCTTCATCCCCCCCCCCCTTGTCATATTAAATGAACTTTCCCTAATGCTTTACTGCAGTTCATATGTTGATTTTAAATTAGGGACTCAGTTAAGTGCGTTTGTTAACGTTGAAGGTGATTCAGCCGGACGAAACTTCAACCGCTTTATGATATTACTCTAACCGTAAGGGCTGACGTTACCATGCAATTAAATCTCTTTATTATATAAACACCAATGAAATACCAGGTGAGCTTTCGCGCGAAAACTTGATATCTTCACGTGTGAAAATAACATGTTATGTTCACGTGTGAAAATAACACCTTTGTTATGGCTACATAATAAATCGCGCCTTTCATACCAAAAAACTGTAAAAGTAAAATGCTTTGGTATTTCATTGGTGTTTATATAATAAATAGAACATTACATGGCCGCTTCGAGATACGAAATTTCTCTTCTCGTGTTGAAAAAATATTTCACTCGTTCGCTGCGCTTACTCGTGAAATATTTTTCAACACTCGAAGAGAAATTTCGTATCTCCGCGCGGCCATGTAATATCCTCTATGTCAGCCAACTACGAGGTCTTCAAGGATCATTCATAATACATGTAAAAAGAGGACCAAAAATTATCCATCATGATGTTTTTATATAAACCATGAATTACAAAAGAGGAAAAAGGAGAAAAAGCTCACTAGCGTATGTTATTAAAAAAAGAACATCCACGTGACTGATTTACATCGGTCGAATAGTTTTGTAGTAAGTATAGACCTTCACTGGCCCGGAAGTTTCTTTCAAGGCCCTGCCAGGTCAAATCTTGCACATTTCCACCAGTCTTAATCCAGCATTTTAGAGTCACTTTAGAGTTACTGTTATCGTCTGAAAGGGGGGTTGACGATTCTGCGCGGTTATTTCACAGTTCATGCCTAAATGACTGCGTCCCAGTATAAACAGCCGTGTCTTTCAGTAGTTTAACAGACTAACCCTAACCTATTTACGCGCTCAACTTTTTTTTCCAAAGCTATAAAGCAATAATTTGAATATAATTGAGGACCCGTTTTGTTATAATTGTAATATTTATTTAGTTTAAATCCGCTGGGCGTGACTTTCTCGCCTTTATACAATTGTCCAGAGCCAAAGCAATTCTTTTCCAAAACTTTAAGGTGGTTTAATGAATATCATAAAGAGAATGTACAACCTTCAAACAAGCAGATTTTATTTAATACATTCGAAGACTCCTTTCCATTGCAAATGTCAAATTCAACTCAAAGCAAAGTCCTTCTATTGGCTTTATTGCAAAAAAAATACTTATACACTTGCAAGAACATCGTAACGAAACCTAATTAAGATGAATTTTTACCTAAGCTTTTTGAACAATATCGCATTGAAAATTGTGGCAAACAATATTAAATATCTGTGGCAACTGACGGGCTTTTATCCTCCAATACCTTTTATTTCTATTGTTATTATATTTTGTTTTTTGTTTTTTGAGTGTGTGTGTGTTGAAGCTGTATTTAAGTTTTGTTGCTTACCGACTTATTGATTTATTTTTTTACTCTTGCTTTGTATTAACGTTGACTGTTAATTTGTCGTCATTAAAAAAAAACTTTCTGGGGCTATAGAAATTGTTTAATGTTATTATTATTATTATTACTATTATTATTATTACATAAGATGTGGAAAAAATATTCCACACCAATATAATCACTGAGGCACAGGTACCAACTCCGCGGTATGGCCAATCTCGTTCCAAGAGTTCGTGTCACTCTTGATCCGCTGGACAAGAGTAACGCGCGGACTCTGGGAACGAGATTGCGGTATGGCCAGTGCCTTACACATGCGCAAAACCATAACCCTGATGAGCCCCAATAAGGGCAAAACAGCTGTCCATGGCTGCCACTAAACGGGTGATATGGCTATGCGCATGCGTAAGGTACTGGCCATACGGCGGAGTTGGTACGTGTGCTTCAGTGCTTAAATTGGTATCGTTTCAAAACACATTCAGCCGTCCATAAATAAAAGATCGTCGGAAATAACAGACAGCTTGCTCAACAGAGCGGCTGTTGCTTTTTAATAACTCAATAATCTTACCCAGAGCCTCCGGAAAAACACCTCGAAAAGCCACCCCAACCCCCTCGGAAATTGCCTCGTTTTTGCACTGCCTTCCCCCCTCCCCTCCCCTCGGAATTTCTCTTGCCCTTAGGCGTTGAGATTGTACTCGAAAGAGTGGCATAGTATATTTCTAAAATTATGCCAATATTTAAGTTTATTTTTGTAAATTATCCTTAATTTAAGCTAAATATGCAGAAATTATGCTTCTACCTTTTTCTTCAAATTTGATAAAAGTACCTCAATAACAATGCAACAAACAAGTAAATGGGAGAAACATTTACCCTATTTACATGTAGGAACCTTAAGAGTGCATAATTCAGTCTCTGAAAACTATAAACATTCAAAGAAAATACCAGCACACGGACGCTATCTTGGATAACAGAGCTAGTCAGTTATGCGCATGTCTTGGGTCCTGTGGAAAGATCCTAAGTCATTACCTTTGGGAGCCAGGTCCCATGAATGCGACAATAAGCAGACAAAAAGTTGATTTTGTCACTTAAATTTGCCCGTAACACTTATCTCGGGCCAAAAACAATTTGATTGTATGATCAATAAAAGACAATTTTGCGCTCAAAAACTAGCCAAAAGTGCAAATTATGCTAGCGGTGCTTTTTTCGGGAAAATACATGCATTGAAAGTTATGCTCGTAATGACGAATTATGCCAAAAATTATGCCAGCAAAATCTATCAAACCCTAGTTGCCCTCCGTGAGGGGTATGGATATTTTCTGGAACTACACATTGCACGATCGTTTCTTTGCAAAATAATAACTCAAAATGAAGAGAAAGATTTTTTATAACCGGCACACACTGGATAGGTCATTAATTTACATTTTCTCAGCAATAAGAGTTAAAATTTATCCTTTTTGTTCCCTCTTCTTTGTAACGAAAAATTTCACCTACTCTAACACCTTTTGAAAATGCACTGCTAATTATCACACAATTATTCATACCTGTTGGTGAAGGGAATACTTTCAACTGGATTGTAGAACTGGTATAGCTGGGGTCGTCGTCTATTTCGCAGAGGTACGTACATTTATACGTCCCCTCATCAGTATAAGTAACGTTAAAAATGGTGATAATGAAATCTATTTTGCATCTTTTGTTGGTTTTCCTTTGTTGAATGTCATACTTCTCACCGGATTTTAGGGGCGTCGAGCTGTTGCTAATAAAACGCCACCGTAATCCGTTGTTATAACAGTCGCTTGGTCTTACTCCAACCAGGCATCGTAAGCTGACGTTGTTGAAGGCTGTCACCCAAACTTTGGGAGAAGAGATATGTGGGGCTCCAGGCTTCGAACCTATATTCAAAAATGTGAAAAATATTATAAACAAATAATATTTTTTAAAAAATCATTGCTGCGTTTCACTTGTGCAGCGTCAGTACAGCTCTATTTCCAGTCCCTCCCATACTGAGTCCTGAGTATTTGTGACAATATAAATGTGGCAAATGGCAAATGGGGCATCACGATGATCATGCCTTTTTACTTTTCGATTGTAGCTGTCCGTCTACTTTTCTCTTTTACGCCTTCTCTCCTATTCTCTTCAGTAACACGCCGTCCTTAATGACCCCTTGGCGAGTGGATGAAAACGATCCTTTAGCAACTGTGGAGTGTTTTATATAGCACTCTTTTAAATGATTGTGTCTGCTAAACAGGGTTAGAACGCAAGAGTGGCTCAGTGATAACAGCTCTCGCCTCCCACCCATGTGGCCTGTGTTCGATTTCCGGAGGCTACACCATATGTCAGTTTATTTTGCTGTTGTCTCACCCTTGTTCCAAGAGGTTTATCTTTTGTTACTTTCTCTCGTTTAAGACCAAAATTTGCAACTTCCAATTTTATTATTGAGAAAGCGGGCGTTTATTAGTGATGGGAGTCTAATATAATTTTAACAGCCTAGAGGAGCGTTTATTAGATAAAAGGCTTTTATTTAGAAGTGGGCGTTTATTAGGTCACGGTATATATGTATTTAGGTATTTACATCTACATCCTCTTTAATTTTGTCTTTTTTGATCCCGCACCTATTTGAAAGATTGTTTTTGATTAGCTGG